AGGCTGAGAAAGGCGGGATAGAATAAATGTAAATAAATACATACATACATGAAGCAGTTACCAATGAAAACATATTTGGCAGCATCCCTGAAAACATATAGGGGTACCAGCCTCACTGAATTCAGCGGACTCGCTTTTCATTAGACTAGTGTAAAATTACACCATCAGAAATGTAAATTCCTTTAAATCTCCTATTTTGCAACAAGCCTTTTTTTCTTCTATACAACACAGAAGTAGCTACTTTTTCTAATTTTAGCCACAATTTAGTGGTGGGGGTAGATTTTATTGGTGAATTTAAGTAGCTCATCCAATTCATTCTCACATATACACTCTGAAATCCGCTAAAATCATGAAACAGCTGATTTTAGCCAAGCAAATGATTGAATATTATGGATATGCTTCATTACAGTATGGGTCTTGTCACAGTTTCCACTAGGTGGCACTTTAAGGATATGACAGTTAGTAAGTGTGTGTGTTCCTTATATCCATCTCTGGTCCCTTTTCATATTTTGGAAGTAATATGTATGCATTGATTTTGCATAAGCATTAGTAGTGCAGTAGATTTTGAGTTGTACCTTTCACAATGGAGAAAATTCCTCATAATAACTGTCCAGAAGGAAGAACAGCCACCTGCTTCTTGTCACACCCTAAACAACTGCATTGTTTTCCTAGGCTGTTCTTTCAGATTTAAGCAGGCACCCCCAGAAAGAGGACAGCTTGCAAACAGGATCAGGAGAGTTAATCTGTAGGCGTCTGTGCACAATGTTTCTCATTTGTTGTTGTTATCAACTGCCATTAGGTTGACTTGGATATATGGCAATCCTATGAATGAGAGGGCGCCAGTGTTTTTGTGAATATGGTTTAGAGCAATGGTTCACAAACTGTGCTCCTCCAGATGTTTGGGACTTCAGCTCCCACAATTCCTAACAGTTGGTAAGCTTTCTGGGAGCTGAAGTACAAAACACCTGGAGGAGCAGAGTTTGAGAAACACTGGTTTGAGAATATCCTGCCATTACGTTTAACACCCGCTTTCTACCCTAACCCTAACCCTTCCTGTCATAAGATTCCCTGAAAGTACAAGGTGTTTCAGAAATATAAACCTAATTTAAAATCAGTATATATCTACAACTATGAACTATCCACGAATAAAACTCTTATCACTAGAGAGAGATTGAAATGATTACCACTAAAAATGCCTTTCCCAGTGCATAAAAAACCCCAGCTTCAGTCACTGTCAAGCTTGTGACCCTGTAACATGGGGCCTAATGAGATATTCTACATCTATGGAATTATTTTTTAGATTTGTTTCTGGATCAAATTTCTTGGAAAAACTTGATAACTCATTAAACCGTTCGTAATATTTTGTGTAATTGTAACATGTCACTGTCATGAAATATACTGCTTTGCAATTGGCTCCATGTTTTTGAAACAACCTGTACAATGGAAAAGCAGTAATCCAAAAGAAGAAGACCATACACATATACACATCCAGGGAACAATAAAACAGCTGGCTTATCAGTTAATTTATTTTGATGATCGAACTGTGAAGCATTCATAAATGTCATCCATTTTTTATATTTCTTTAATATAATTTTTATTGAAGATAAAAAAAGAAAAATCCTTTTACGTAGAAAGTGGGAGACCAATGTATTTAAAGAAAAGTAGAAAATAAAGATAGGGAAAAAGGAGAGAGAAATGAAAAAAAGGAAAAAAAAAGAGCTGCCTTCCGTCTATCCTCAGTGGTCATAGTTGATCTTTCTTCAGTAAGTACATATAAGATAGTCCATCTTCTTCCACTTTGTCTCAAATATTTTCTTGTGATCTTCTCTCTTCAAATTATATGTTCAATTTTCAACTCTTTAAAATGTCATCCTTTAATGCCGAAAATTGAAAAATAATTCAAAATAATAGTCCATTTCCTGGCCTCTCACAGCATGCCCCCATTTTAAAGTTTTGTCCCATCTGACTGACCATGCAGGAAATGAGATAATCTGTTGGCTGTTAGATTCTGGGAATTGTAGTCCAACCCATCTAAATAAAGGGCACCAGCTCTGGTGAGGCTAATCCATACAAAAGCACCCAGGATGAAAGCAACTGATAGGTACCTTTAAATCCCATAGCCTACTTCTCATTTGCTTAAATTATAAGATTGAAAGAAAAAAAAATGCAATTTTGGTTAAGCTCAGAAGTGAAGAGGTTTATTGGCAAAGCTCCAGAACTGAGCTGGATAACAACTTTCCTTTTTTAAAAAATAGATGGAGTATACGAACATATCACATTATATTTACATTGTGCAATCACTCAAATAATGGTTGTATAATAGCAACTCAAATAATATTTCAACTTGGAAGCAAAGTTATAATCCTCCATTCTGCAGCTTATTCAGTTTTATGTAAGGCGTGTGTGGTGACACTTGCCGACATCCTTTTCAAATTACATGTCACACTGTGTTGCTTTCAGGAAACAGTGTTACGTAAGTGCCGAGAACTTTTCAGAAATCCCACTGAGGTTGAAGAACTAGCTGAGAGCAACAAGATGGACAGATAGGAGAGGGAGGAGGAAGAGTTCAAGATGTGCAGCTGTAATGTGTTAGCTTGTTAAACTTGGCCAGAATCTGAAAGCAGAAACAAACGCAAGGCTCTGGGGAATCTCGCCTTTTAGAACCATTTATCCAATTTCCCTCACTTCCCTTTTCTCTGAGATCCATATCTTCTCTCAGTCTTTCAATCTCTCTCCCCCCACCCCTTTTCTTCCAACTTACTTTCTACTTTTCTTTTGAGCCAAATAATATACCTCCACACACACACTCTGGGACCATCATAATCAATGATTCCTATGTTAATCAGCTAAGCTTATCACTGCTGGGCTACAGAAATTTTGATATCCAACACAATCTAGTATAAATATCTAAAGCTGTATCTTACTGCTCCACATCCAAATCTGCATGTGCAACAATAAATACACAACTGGCACAGGAATCCACAGCAAATGAGTACCACCAATATGCTAAGTGCTGGAAATTGTTAAGTTCCATCTTGTTCTTTCAAAACTATTACATTTGTGGCACATTGTCACAGTGCTTTATTCAAAGATCCAAGTACCTTTTCCTTGGGTCTAGTTGTTCTGCAGCATGTCTTCAGCATCCAGTGGACCTTTGGACCTTCCACAGATTCGTGGCTGGTTTTCTCCTTGTGCTGTTAAAATGTCCCAGGAGTCAGATATTTCCTACTTGTTTGGCAGATGATTCAGTGTTGGGAGCACAGGAAGCTCACAGCAGTAGCATTCAATATGTGTGGAAATGGCCAAAAAGGATACGTAGGAGAGAAGCTTAGTCATTATATTCCTCCTCTCCCACCCTTACAATGACTGTAAATTATTTATTACATCACGTGGCAGATCTATCTTTATTGTATATCTCAGTGATCATCATCCCTGGAAAACCTGTTCCCTTTATTTAGTTCAATGTGGAGCAATCGATCATTCTCTTTTTGTGTGCCAACAACCTCCTCTTAGTGACGTCTATTTCCTCTAGTAGTTTACAGATGAACATATGTTGCATGAACTATATTAAGATAGGATCCTTACCCAACAGAGTAGGCATATGCAACTGTTATATTTGAAATCTTCATGTAAGTATATGCAGTGCTCTAAGCTTTACTAGGGATTGTTGTCAGTCTTCATAAACTATTTCTCAGTATTATTGATTGTTTTTGGATATACAGAAGGCTTCTTACACATTTTCCTTTTTATACTCCTTTGCATTTTTATTTCCTAGATGTTCTACACATTTTAATTCTCTTTATATACCCCGATATCTTTTCTTTTCACAAAATGTGTGTCTGACAGTGGAATTTATTTGATTTAAAATAAGTAATTATAATTTTCTTAGAAATTTACTCCTGTCTTAGAATCATACAGTTGGAAGTGACATCAAAGATCATCTAGTCCAACCCTATGCTTGATGCAACAAAAATGATTTTAAAAAATGGTTGCCATATGTTAGTGTTGCAACCTTAAAACATCATCAGAGTGGGAAATAAACCCAGCACTTAGCTCACTGCAGTTGTCTTCCATGTAGTCAATGGACACCATATGTCAGAATTCAAACTGTTCCTGGAAGTAAGGAAAGTTTTTCGTTCATTAAGGGTAAGGAAAATAACAGATGTGATGTTTCAGAATTGCTATAGCAACTTCCAACTCAGTGTTTGTGTTCACTTAGCACTACTGTTCCACATGCCCAATTATCCATACAAGTCCTTCGCAGGAAAATCCAGCATACGTTTGCCCATTGATGCAAGTCCCATTGTGTTCAGTGGAGCTTACTAACTGACAGTTCAGCATAGGTTTACATGCTCAGAATGACTGGATATTGTAAAACAGGAGCTCACTTGAAGTTGTTTGAACTGTCTTTGTCATATAATATCTCACACCATTATGCTATCAGTATTGTAGGTACCTGCATATTGTATGGAATCTATGCTCTGGGCATCTGCAAATTTTGCTATTGGGAATCAAGCAACCTACACAATTATAGTACTAAGATACCAGTTTGACGTGGTTCCATCCTATAGAATTTTAGAATTTGCAGTTTAGGGCAGGCCTACAATTTTCAACCAGGTGGTTCCACTGCTGCGCCTGCTGATAAAGTTTCATAGGCAGTTACCATAGTAGTTAAAGTGTAATCATAGTTTTATAATTGTATAGTACAAAATGACCCCAATGTGTCTGGGTTAAAGATCAAGTTGTGTCTCACTTTAACAGTAAATGTAAGGTCTCCTGAATTTTCCTTTTGGAGTGAATTGCAGACATTCACTTGAACTGAAAAAGAGGTCCATTTAAAAATCTTACTGGAGCAAGAAATAAACTTATTTCGTAGCCTTTGAAAATCAACCCTGCTGTTTCTTGGTCACACTAGAATGTGACGGAAATGTTTAAAACTAGCCATGGATGACTGACTGCTAGTTATTTGGGTGTTACCATTGACTTGCATATTGTTACAGATGGAACAAGAATCTGAGGCTGAAGTGCATTTGCCATTGAGTAGAGCTTCATCACAAGCAGAAGAAAATAGCACAATAAAAAAGGTAAGTACTAGTAGTGTAAATCCGAGTTTATCATGTCACATCCATAAAAGTTATACATTTGCGTACAGGCAGGTTTAAGTTGTATTTGGGATTCAAGAGTCACAATGTGATCAAGTCTCATGTATACAAGGAAAGCCAATTCCATAAGGAAACATTCATGTTTAGGGCTTTGTAAGCCGCACCGAGTCCTTCGGGAGATGTTAGCGGGGTACAAATAAAGATAATAATAATAATAATAATAATAATAATAATAATAATAATAATAATGTGGTCAATTTGGGATTTTGGGGTATTTTGGATTTCAGGATTCTGGATAAAGGAGGCTCAATATTGTTATCTCAGAGAATTCATAATCACTCTAAAATAGCAACAATGGTTACATAGCTCAGTAAAACTAGCAAATGCCTGGTATCTAACTGATCATATATGTTTTTTGCCATCATGGAGGAGAAACAAAGCAGTTGGAACAAAACCCTTCTTCCTCCCATTAGTACCTTGTCAGATAGTTCCGGTGCTTATTGAACTCTTCTGGGAAAAATAAGCTTGTAAGGGAATAAGTAGTTCTGAGTTCACACAGCAGCATAGGCATTTGTGAAGAGGAGGGACACTTGTTTAATGTGATTACTCTAATTATAAGCAACATCCTGCAGGTGCCCGAGACAGTACTGTAAACATATTCCATGTGACAATTTCAATACATGAGTTATCTTGGGAAAGAGTCCTGTTTTTCCTAGAAACACAGAAGCACAAACAGTGCTGGAAAAATCTGGTTCCCTGCTACAGAACAAGACATCTGGACTGCACAAAACAAACTGGCAACAACTGTAAACTGACCATCAAAAACCTGATCAGCTGGAAGGGCCCCAAGTAGACTACATTATACTAGATAGTGCATTGTTTCTCTTCCAAGTCTCAGTCTATTAAAGTTACTGATACATGAGCTGCAAGCCTTAATTATAGACTCTTCTGGAACATGGTTCAAATCATTCAACCCACAAAAATAGCTATAAAAATTCTTGTGTTTCTGTTAAAATACTGTTACAAGTCCAAATGGAAAGACCTTTTTTGTATTTTTGCTTCACTTCCCCTTTGTTTCTCTGAACAATCTCTTAGTGTTACTTTTAATCTGTTTCTATAAGTACTGTTTTTAAATATTGTCTGAGTCCAAACAACTTTGTTATAAAAGTATCTTTGCCATGCTAATTTCAAGGATTATACAATTTAAAAGGATATATTTATTTCAATAAGTGTTTTGACCCAGGATGATATATAGTGGTCTGGGTGTTGGACGAGGAAACTCACTAGATGACTTTGAACAAGTCACACTCTCTCAGCTTCAGAAGAAGGCAATAGCAACACTCCTCTGTACCAAATTTATCAAGATAGGAATGCCATAAGAAAACTCTCAGATGGAATTAGGATCAATTTGAAAGCACATAAGAACAACATCAAAACCTGTATGTATTATTGTACTACACGCATCTTCAAGAATGGAGAGAATTCTGGAGACTTTTCTTGTATTTGATTCACCCCAAAATTTTGGTCTCTAACAAATGACGTGACGATGATACCTCTGAGACTGAAGGTGGACAAGTGTGGAGGAAGTGGGGGCAGGATTTTATTCTCCCCATGTGCTGTATGGACGCATCCAATCTGACTGGAAGAGGTGCAATGCCACTTCCGGTTTTGGAGATTTTTCAAAATATGCTGTTTCCCTTGATATTTGAAGAAGGCAATACAAATTATTGTGTCTATGTGACTGTTGGAGCATTTGGTTTGTGAAAGTTGGCAAGAAATCTAAGGGTTTGGGGACTCTCCAAGAGGTTTTAAGGGCCACATAAAGATACCAGCTCCAGAGCAACATGTAGCTCACAAGCCAAGTTGCTGACTTTAGGAAAATTTTGTAAATGTAAATGGTATGCGGTAGATTTTGTTGTTGTTTTCCTGTCTAATAATGAAAAGTATTTACAAACTTTTTTTTAATCACAGGAGGTTTTGCTCACACAGCCACCATCAAAACCGATCCGCAGAAAATTTCGGCCTGAAGGCCAGATGCTGGAGAATCCGGAAGTTTCTCCCACGAAAAGTGTAGCCTCTTCTTTACCAGCCATCAAGTCTCACCATTTGATTCCAAAGTAAAAAAGGCTGCCTTAAGCTTCAGCATGAAAAACTGGGAATGATTTGGGCTTTGCACTTACATCGAAGGGTGTCAGATATTCTAAAGGAGGAATTTGGGAGAAAGTGTGACTGAGTTGCCCTCCTTTTAACATATCGGAAGTTTAGGAATAATTTTGTGTTTTGGGCAGTGAATAAGCAGTGTGTGCAACTCACTTGTTCTTTCTTGCAAACTCTCCTGACTCACTAGAAATATATCCAGGCTGCTGAAATACTGTTTTCTGAATTAAATGAAGAACAGTTTGTTTAGGACAGTTAATTCATGGTTCAGAGGTGGGTGGAAGATCTTGATGTACAACAAGATATTGAAGAGATGAACTTCACGTTCTTTCTGGACTGTTAAAAAGTGTTCTAATACTAGTACAATGCAAAAATAATGTCCTGCTTGTGCAAAATACAAAGAAGAGAAGGGAAGAGAAGTATCCTCCAATCTATGATGAAGCCTTAGATGTGATGGGATAAGTCACACCCATCTGAGTTTTGCCTTTTCTGGTTAAAAATGTGGGGATTAAAAGTCTCCCTGGGACTTTTCTAGGGATCTGCAAGAAGCAACATTTGGAAGCATAATTTATTCATAGATTTGTTTTTAGACTGTGTGTCAGTACTGGTTTATCATATCTAAAAAGAACAAAGAATGAAGTGGTATACAAAAAAAAAGAGACAAAATAACATTGAAACATGAATAAGTATCACTTAAAATGTCTTGATACAGAGGCTGAAAATGTTAATCTTAAATATGGCAGCTGTGTTTGTCAGAAAAAAACCCTGAATGAGGAAGAGATCCTTTAGCACAGTGGTTCTCAACCTTTTTTGACCAGGGACCACTTTGACCAGGGATCACTCTCCAACGTTAGTACCAAAAGGGTTATGAATCAGTTTCTGGTCAACTTTAGATTCGGTATGGTTATTTAGGGTGCTGATTCAGAAAATTACATTGGATAGACCACACTAGTTCAAGTTCTGATACAGAACATATGCCACCCAGGAGTCGCCTACAGAAAACCATATTTAATAATCTACAGCTGATGTGGTCTGTCCAATGCAATTTTCTGAATCAGCACTCCAAACAACCCCAGGAACAGGCCTAAAAATGAAGACACCAAGGTGTCCCTAGTTCTAGGCGCCACATGGAATAGCTCCACTTGTGGGGAGGGAGGGAGGGGGAGAAGCAGCAGTCAGGAGGCTTGTTGTCACACCTTTCATGGGTAGTCAGCCTATCCCCTCCCAACATCCCTGTTGCCTAGGCAGTATAAGGGTTTCGCGAGACCAGTCACTCTCGTTGCAAAGGTGTAGTAACAGTGAGGCCATGGATGATATTTTAGTTCTTGGGGACTACAGGTGGTCCAAGTACAACAGGCTGGGAACCACTGCTTTATCAGAATCACTGTTTTAATGAGAAGTATTTGTGGACCTCACAGAATATTTTTGTTTTCAAACTAGAAAAGTTGCGAAATGTAGAAGTAGTATAATAAAGAGGAGGCGGCGGCGGCGGGGGGGGGGGTAATTTTCAAGTGAAAGCAGTGAGATTCTCCTCTAAAAATCAAATTACTAACTCAGCTTCAGAGATAAAAGCTAACAGCACTTTTTCACATGAAGAACTTGCTGTTTTAAACATAATGTATCTGTGTTGGATCACATTGTCATTTTATAGTTGCTAACACCCCTGTCTATATTTTTCTTCATTCTTTTTAAAGATGAAAATTGCCAACACATTCAGTAACAAAAGCTGTAGAATAGCAAACCAATGGGACTTCAAAGGATAAACTGTTGAAAATTTAACTTTCAGTGCTCCCATTTAGGGCTGATCTGTGTATTCCAAAGAAACAGAAAAGGAACAGTGCATTAGATCAATACTGATGTTTTGCTGAAGCCTTGTCATATCCAGCTCTCCATTAATAATAATAATAATAATAATAATAATAATAATAATAATAATGGATTGTCGATGTTGCACTCCCAGGTGACAGCAGGATTGAAGAGAAACAACTGGAAAAGCTGACATGATATGAGGATTTAAAGATCGAACTGCAAAGACACTGGCACAAACCAGTGAAGGTGGTCCCAGTGGTGACTGGCACATTGGGTGCAGTGCCTAAAGACCTTGGCCTGCACTTAAACACAATCGGTGCTGACAAAATTACCATCTGCCAGCTGCAGAAGGCCACTTACTGGGATTGGCACGCATTATCTGCCAATACATCACACAGTCTTGGACACTTGGGAAGTGTCTGACGTGTGATCCAATACAACAGCCAGCAGAGTGTCTACTGTGGACTCATCTTGTTGTGTTTCAAATAATAATAATAATAATAATAATAATAATAATAATAATAATCAACTTTATTTGTACCCTGCCACCATATTCCCAAAGGGGACTTGGGGCGACTAACATGGGGCCAAGCCCAAAATTACAGTACATCAAAATAAAATACAAAGAAGCAAAAAAACATCAAAATAAAATACAAGAAATAACAAAATAAAATGAACCATTACAAAATAACCTGATAGAGAAATAGAACACAGTGGGTGGGCCAAATGTATTAGGATAAAATTGATAAAACTCTGGATAAGTAGTGGGAGAATTTGGGGGTAGAGAAAGGCAGGGTACAAATAAATAAATAAAATAAAATAATGAACGAACAATGGGGTTAGACCTTTCATCCTTTAGCTGAATGAAAATAAAGCATCTTTCTAGATGTTAATGTTCTCCCCCACCCCCCCAAAAAAAAACTTTCTAGGAGAAAGTCTGTACATAGAGTGGTAGGTGTCAGTTCACCTAAATCACAATCCTGGACTAGAAAATCCTTTTTGTGGACTTGAGCGCAGGTTTTGGTGTCCAGAGAAGCTGTCTTTTCCAAAGCAATGTTAGGAGAAAAGTTTAAGCATAGCTTTTAACATGGTAGCACAGGAATATCTGAAATATGTCAAGACATTTCTTCTTTTCATTTTGTGAAGGATTTATCGAGTAATATGTTGTAAATGTACTTAATTCTCTGAAGCAGCTTGATTTTTAGAAATATGCATGTCACTTCTCTTTCCCCTCCCCCCAACTTCCTCCCTTTGCTTTGGTTTTTAATAAGAGCCTCATACTTCCTTTATCAGTCAGATGGACGTTCTTCTGCCTGAAAATTGTTTATTTTTGCTGTTCTTTTTTTACTCTCTGGCAGACAGTCTTCAAAACAGAAGAAAGCTATTCAGACTGCTATTCGTAAAAACAAAGAAGCCAATGCGGTGCTAACTCGATTGAATAGTGAACTCCAGCAGCAGCTAAAGGTGAAAAGTAGAGAGTTAAAAATATATTAAAATTCTTCAACCTATGCCGCCTGTCTCTCCTTGTACTTTTTTACAGAAGGTAGTGTAAAACTGTAGCAATCAAAATAGAAAGATGTCTTTCCTTCAGTCTAGAAATAGCAGGTAGCAGTGAACTATATCTGAAGGTGCCTTTCCATGAATGAGAAAGCTTTTCAATCCAGCAGAAGTTCTCACAAACTGCTATAGGAGGTGGGTGGTTTTGGTCAATTTCCTGATACTGGTCATAATTGCCTTGATGTGAAATAACAACAAAGAAAATGCAAATTGGGAGAAACTGGAATCAAGACTCAAAAGCGCCCATTTTGTGAGTAAAGTTCTGTATTGGGTATTCTCTAGACCAGAGGCAGGGTGTGTCTTATAGTGGAGATCACAGTTGTGGCTTTCCTCTCAGGTAGTGAAGTTAAAAATACAATAAGAGTCATATTGTATGCTAGATGTATCACTGTAAGAGACAATAGCATGGTTATATACAATATGTCAATAAGACACTCTATTGAAAGTCCATGTCCTTTTAATACAAATGTGGGCAGACTTCAAGCTGCCACAATATCTCCCCCACTATAATGCTGAGGTCCTAACAACTAGAACCAACCAACCAATCAACAAAATGACCCTGTAAACACAGTCAGCTATGAAGCACACACTGAGATATCTATAAATCTGTGTGTGAGTTGCCATAGATCAAGGATTATAACATTTCACTGGTAAGTAATGCTTAGTCAAAAGCAACCAGTTGAGATTTGTTTTTGTTTTTTTTTACCATTGAGTTTAACTAAGAAAAGCACTTAGAAGAAGTTGGAGGGGTGGGGGAGCAAAATGAAGACATTGACATTGGTTATTCTCTTTCAGCTCCTGATTTCTAGCATTGCTGAGAGTGAGATGAAAATCATCCCCACCTAGAACTCTTACATTTCCTAACTCTACATTCCCTACACAATTTTATCTGCCCCTTTTCATTGGTTGCATGAACTGTATTTCTAAAAACTCAACTGAAGTTTTCAATCACTGAGGGAAATTGGAAAGTGGCAGAATTCTCATTCGTGGACCACTGCCCCTTCTCTGAGCTACTCCTCCAGCAGAGCAGTCCCTAAGTTGCCAGATAGTACTCTCTTTTGCACTTCATCCACTTGCCTGGGTCTTTGGTATGCTGTTTCAACTTATCCCTTGCCCAGCCAGCCCTTTTATTTCTTGGTCATGCCCATTTTAGAAATCTTGGTCATTGTTTTTGTTGAACCTGGTCTGATGGAGCTCCAGTGCAATCTGTTTTATTCTGTTGTGTTCAGTGTGTTTTATCTTGATTGTTGTATTTTGTGATGCTCCTATTTTAATGTGTTTTGATTTATGGATTCCTTTTGCCTTTATGTCTTGTGGACATTTTGTCCCATATGTAAGGTACCCTGAGTCCGTTCGGGGAGACGGTGGTGGGGTATACAAATAAAGGTTGTTGTTGTTGCTGATGTTTTATTATAGGACAAGTTTTGTTTCATTAAAATCAAAACCATGGTGTTCTGCAGCAAGCCACCCTGACCTCTATCAGTAGATTCCAATGTGCATTTATCAGCCCCTGTATTAATAATACACCCCAATTTTCTAAATCATCTGGCAATCCCAGGGAACCTGGAGTTTACATTCATCGAGCAAAGCAATGTGACATTCAAACAATGGTAATGCATCCTATGTGTTTTAGTCTGTTTTGCAATGGCCTTATTTGCTGAAAAAATAATATCCTGTAAACAATTATGGAGTGATTGCAGAAGCTGATTTCCTTTAAAAGCAAGCTGTTTTGTATGTTTATGCTTTGAGAAGCTTACACACTAATTGTTTTATATTGTTTGCATTTTCTAGGAAGTTCACAGAGAACGAACTGCACTGGAAAGTCAGCTGGAGCAACTCCGGCCTGTAACTGTCTTATGACACCCTGTAAGAGAAAGTTTGGTTCCCAGGAACTTCTAGACTTTATCCGCACAACGTATTGGCATAAACTTTTCCCACTAAGGCAACAACATATGGACAAAAGTGATTGCCATATTTCTTTTGCATTTCTTGCACTTGTTTACTATGTGAATGAAGAAGTATACAATCTGAATGTCATATCTTTTCCCTCGAAAAATAAAAATTGTGTCTTCCCCCTCCTTCTTCAGGAATGCCTTAGTCAAATTTCATCTCTTATTATTACGTTTTTTAATTTCTTGTTTTTGTTTATATGCAAGTTGTGGCATTTAAATATATAGTAGATATTTGTAGGAAATGTATTTATATTTATTTTCATACCATAGTTATCTGTGGTTTTCCATGTTAGTTTTAGAATAAATCAATGGAGCATCACAATGTTTTGTGTGTGACATTGGCTCTCCCCTTCCTTTTACGATTACTGGTCATTGCTGGATAGAACACACAATTGTTTCTTTATTAGGGCATGGCATGTACAGCCTTGCTCTGTGGTCCTTCAGATGGTAAGCCTGCAACTTTCAACAAACCTAGGTACCATAGCCAATAATGAGGAAAGTTATAGTTTAATATTATGTTAATGCCACTGGCTACTGCTGGACACTAATTCTCATTTGTGCCTACAAAGCCCATTAGTTCAGTTACTATTGGACTGAATAGAGAGCAGTGCTGTGCCTGTCCTGGTTGGGGGCAATTGCTCCAGCCTCAAAACAGCCTGGATGGTGGATGTACTGCCCCCAGTCCTTGTGGGACAGTACTCCTATAAACTATAGACTAAGTTCTGGGGGTTCAGTTGGTCTAATCTTCCTGTACTTGACAGGTAAATTCCCTTGCACCAGTACTCATTGGTGCTTTTGCTGCTGCTGCTACAATACCACCCTGAAATGAATGTATCTTGGGATAGTCAAATATAGAGAATATGCCATAGTTGCTAGAAAGCAATCTTGCCCTACTGCTAATCTATGCAATCCTTGAGAGTACTGGTGCAATTTTTTGTCTGTTCCAGGGGCTGTGAATTGCTCCTCATGTCAGTGGTGGTTTTTGCTTAAATGCTATCAAGTGATCGTAATAATTAAATGCAAACTTTAGGGACTGGTTGACTTTAATAATTACATATTTTAAGTTGCCTATTTATTTAAATATAATTAGAAAGATGTATTATAAGTCAGCAGTATCCACAATCACTATATGTAGCTTTGGTGAAATCTGACTTGCTTTATATATAGAGTTATACTTGGGTTTGTTTTAAAGTTCTCACAGAAGTCCATATTTTCCCCTCTCTGTTTGGGATTAACAAGGCTTTTTTAAAATGTTATAGTAACTGTTTTGGCTATTCTTCTATTCAGTTAGCACATTAAATCCAAGAAATGTTCTGATGAGCCCAATAAATTTATTTTGGAGTACACAAATACCAGCATGCCTAATTTTTGTCTCAGAGCCAATGTGTAGTGGTTTGAGCATTGAACTTTTGAGATCAGGATTTGGATCCCCACTCGGCCAAAGAAACCCAGTGGGTGACTTTGTGTAAGGCACACTCTCTTAGCCTCAGAGGAAAAAAAGACTACTCTCTGAAAAAATCTTGTCAAAATACCCCATGATAGGGTAAACCTAGGTCATCATAAATTAAAAATTACTTGAAGGCACATAACAAGCCAGAGTTTTGGGCTAGACTGCATCCAGATATATAATACTCATGCACTTGAATTTGATAACTGCAGCGACTATGAGAAAAATGGCAATTAGGTAAAGTTTTTCTCTATTGATGACATCTACATAAATTGTTTCTCCCCATGCATGTATTTTTTACTCATTCAAAACATCACATACATGTTGCATCATTGTTGTTGTTGTTCATTCGTTCAGTCGTCTCCGACTCTTCGTGACCTCATGGACCAGCCCACGCCAGAGCTCCCTGTCGGCCGTCACCACCCCCAGCTCCTTCAAGGTCAGTCCAGTCACTTCAAGGATGCCATCCTTCCATCTTGCCCTTGGTCGGCCCCTCTTCCTTTTGCCTTCCACTTTCCCCAGCATAATTGTCTTCTCTAGGCTTTCCTGTCTCCTCATGATGTGGCCAAAGTACTTCAACTTTGTCTCTAGTCTCCTTCCCTCCAATGAGCAGTCGGGCTTTATTTCCTGGAGGATGGACTGGTTGGATCTTCTCGCAGTCCAAGGCACTCTCAGAACTTTCCTCCAACACCACAGCTCAAAAGCATCTATCTTCCTTCGCTCAGCCTTCCCTAAGGTCCAGCTCTCACATCCGTATGTTACTACAGGGAATACCATGGCTTTGACTAGGCGGATCTTTGTTGCCAGTCTGATGTCTCTACTCTTTACTATTTTATCGAGACTGGACATTGCTCTCCTCCCAAGAAGTAAGCGTCTTCTGATTTCCTGGCTCCAGTCTGCATCTGCAGTAATCTTTGCACCTAGAAATACAAAGTCTGTCACGGCCTCCACGGTTTCTCCCTCTATTTTCCAGTTGTCAATCATTCTTGTTGCCATAATCTTGGTTTTTTTTACGTTTAGCTGCAACCCGGCTTTTGCGCTTTCTTCTTTCACCTTGATTAGAAGGCTCCTCAGCTCCTTCTCGCTTTCGGCCATCAGAGTGGTGTCATCTGCATATCTGAGGTTGTTAATGTTTCTTCCAGCAATTTTCACCCCAGCTTTGCATTCATCCAGCCCCGCACATCGCATGATGTGTTCTGCATACAAGTTAAAAAGGTTGGGTGCGAGGATGCAGCCTTGCCGTACGCCTTTCCCAATCTTGAACCAGTCTGTTGTTCCGTGGTCAGTTCTGACTGTTGCTACTTGGTCCTTGTACAGATTCCTCAGGAGAGAGACAAGGTGGCTTGGTATGCCCATCCCACCAAGAACTTGCCACAATTTATTATGATCCACACAGTCAAAGGCTTTAGAGTAGTCAATGAAGCAGAAGTAGATGTTTTTCTGAAACTCCCTGCCTTTCTCCATTATCCAGCGGATATTGGCAATCTGTTCTCTCGTTCCTCTGCCTTTTCTACCCAGCTTGAACATCTGGCAACTCTCGCTCCATGTATTGCTGGAGTCTTCCTTGCAGGATCTTGAGCATTACCTTACTGGCATGAGAAATAAGGGCCACTGTACGGAAGTTTGAGCAGTCTTTCGCATTTCCCTTTTTTGGTATGGAGATATAAGTTGATTTTTTCCAGTCTGATGGCCATTCTTGTGTTTTCCATATTTGCTGGCATATGGCATGCATCACCTTGACAGCATCATCTTTTAAGATTTTAAACAGTTCAGCTGGGATCCCGTCGTCTCCTGCTGCCTTGTTGTTAGCAATGCTTATTAAGGCCCATTCAACCTCACTCCTCAGGATGTCTGGTTCTAATTCATTCACCACACCGTCAAAACTATCCTCAATATTATTATCCTTCCTATACAGATCTGTATAGTCTCGCCACCTTCTCTTGATCTCTTCAGCTTCTGTTAGGTCCCTGCCATCTTTGTTTCTTATCATACCAATTTTTGCCTGAAATTTACCTCCAATGTTTCTAATTTTCTGGAAGAGGTCTCTTGTCCTTCCTATTCTGTTGTCTTCTTCCACTTCCATGCATTTCTTATTTAAAAATAGTTCCTTATCTCTTCTGGCTAACCTCTGGAATTGCGCATTTAACTGGGCATATCTCCCCTTATCACTGTTTCCTTTTGCTTTCCTCCTTTCTTGGGCTACTTCCAGTGTCTCAGCAGACAACCATTTTGCCTTCTTGGTTTTCTTTTTCTTTGGAACGTACTTTGTTGCCACCTCCTGAACAATGTCTCGGACTTCTGTCCATAGTTCTTCTGGGACTCTGTTTACTAAATCTAGTCCTTCAAATCTGTTCTTCACTTCCACTGTATATTCGCTAGGAATGTTAGTGAGATCATATCTAACTGGTTTGTGTATTTTCCCTGATCTCTTTAGTTTTATTCTAAATTGAGCAATAAGAATTTCGTGATCTGAGCTAGTCAGCCCCAGGTCTTGTTTTCACCGACTGGATGGATGTCCGCCACCTTTGGCTGCAAAGGATGTAGTCAATCTGATTTCGGTGCTGACCATCTGGTGAAGTCCATGTATAAAGCCGTCTTTTAGGTTGTTGGAAGAGAGTGTTTGTTATACACAGCGAGTTTTCCTGGCAAAATTCTATCAGCCTGCGTCCCGCTTTATTTTGTTCTCCCAGACCATGCTTGCCTGTGATCCCAGTTGTCATTTGACTTCCCACCTTGGCATTCCAGTCTCCTGTAATGAAAATAATGTCTCTTTTTGGTGTATTATCCAGTAGGTCCTGCAGATCCTCATAGAACTGATCTACTTCTGCTTCTTCAGCAGCTGTGGTTGGGGCGTATATTTGGATCACTGTAATGTTGAAAGGCTTTCCTTGCACTCGAATTGAGATCATTCTGTCATTTTTTGGGTTGTATCCAAGCACCGCTTTAGAGAATTTCTTATTAATTATGAAGGCTACTCCATTTCTTCGATGTTCCTCTTGTCCGCAGTAGTAGATCTGGTGGTCATCTGATGTGAAGTGGCCCATTCCAGTCCATTTCAGTTCGCTGACCCCAAGAATGTCTATCTTTAGTCTTGACATCTCACCAATAACAACATCCAATTTGCCCTGGCTCATAGATCTTACATTCCAGGTTCCTATGGTGTGTTGATCTTTAGAGCATGGGATGCATTGTCAGCCTTCCTTTCGGCTTTGAGCTAGCTGAGTCATCACATATGGGGCTTGTTGAACTTAGTCTCTGCTCCTCCTCAGTAGCATTTTGACCATCTTCCAACCTGGGAGTCCCATCTTCCGATTGCATACCAATGTATATTTGGTTGTACTGATCCATTTAGTTATCTTGGCAACAATACTGGGGTGGGTTGCCATTACCTTCCCCAGAGATGGCATTTGGTCTGACCTCTCTGCCACAACCTTCCCGTCTTGGGTGGCCCTTCACGGTTTCGCTCATGACATCATTGAGGTGCTCAAGCTCCAGCGCCACAACAAGGTGGTGATCCTTTGCTGGAGTCATGTTGCACCAGGCTGGGAAAATAGATCCTCTTCTTAGGTCCCTTTGAAAAAAAGGACTAGACAAATGCATCGCAGTAGGCTTTTCAACAACTACTATATGCCGGTTCCTCTCCATTTGCCTCACAGAGCTTGTCGGCTCCGATCCCACAATGTAGAACTACTTCTGGCAGGGCTCCATAGTACAAATTTAGAGGAACAGGCATAGGGATCAATAGGGGGATGCTTCCCCCCCCCCCGGGATGGAATTTGGGATAAGTCAGGTGATGAGAGGCATGGGGCGATGGGATCCCCATGCCATGCACTGCTGAATTTGCGATGATCTGCGGCAATTCCAGCAGCCAATATGATAAGGTCATTAGTCTCATCAGTTGGGTGGGAGGGCAGGGCAGAAGAGGGATAACGCTTTCATGTCTTTTTGTGTGCATCCCAGGCCCCTTGTGCAGTGTGCTGGTATGGCTGTACCAGGAGCTCCATCTTTAGTTGCTTTGTATTAAATGTTTGTTTGCAGTCCAGGGTTTCAGGGGTTCTGCAGAAAGGTGGCTTCTTTTGGTTGCAGTCGTAGGGCAAGTCACCTGTCCATCATCGTTAAGTTTTGGTTCCGCCCCTTGCTCAGGGCAATTGGGAAGGGAAGGGAGCCATTTTTTTTTAGTTAGTCTCAGCAAGGAAAACTAATGTACAGGACGTGTGTAAGCTTCCCCTGTACAAAAGCTTCAACCCTTAAGACCTTCCGGGGGAGAACAGTCTTAAGAGCCTCCAAAGATTCTAAAGATTTCCAGGGAAACAGCCCTAAAGCTTTGAAGAATTTCGGAGGGTAAACAGTTTGAAAGACCAAAGAACTCCAGCTGGAAAATATCTAAACTTTTACTGGTAGGTCCACTCGATGCTTCGAGATGCAGTTCGACCCAGTAGCAGAGCCCACATCAGTAAGGGTTAGATTACAGTCAGCCTGGGAGATGTTAAAAAGGGGATTTTCCTTTAAAATAAAGAAGAAGTTATTGAACACAGTTGCCTGTCCTTCGTGGGCAAGTTTAGGAAGCCACCAGTTGCATAAAAGCCTGGAATCATTTGTTTATCTTTACTGAAGACAAGAGAAGTTTCTGTTTGATTGTTCATTAATAAAAGACTTTGTTATACTTCACAAGCCATCTAAAGACAATTCCCACAATTCCCAACAGCCGGTAGGCTGTTCTAGCAAGGCATAATCAGGCATTATTCTGAATATGCTCTTATCCAGGGAAGGGAAAACTGCAGACCACTTACAATCTCCTATGACCATTTTGTTCTCCCAAAGGATGTTTATCCCTGCAAATTGTAAAGCAGATTTTTTGCTTCCAAAATGGCCAATTGCACTCCAAACCTTTGAGGGCACCATTGG